AGCAAGATTTTATAAGATTAGTGTATGCAAGTCTGTAATTTTAGCAAGAATTATAAGATTAGTGTATGCAAGTCTGTAATTTTAGCAAGAATTTATAAGATTAGTGTATGCAAGTCTGTAATTTTAGCAAGATTTTATAAGATTAGTGTATGCAAGTCTGTAATTTTAGCAAGATTTTATAAGATTTGTGTATGCAAGTCTGTAATTTTAGCAAGATTTTATAAGATTAGTGTATGCAAGTCTGTAATTTTAGCAAGAATTTATAAGATTAGTGTATGCAAGTCTGTAATTTTAGCAAGATTTTATAAGATTAGTGTATGCAAGTCTGTAATATTTGTGATGAAGCTCACACACAAATTGAAGAAATACACATGAAATGCATTATTATACATTTCTAAAAAAAAAAATCTAATTAAAATTCGTAAGCCGGAGAATTTTTTTGTATTCATCTGAGATCGTTTTTGCAAATCTTGTAATATGTGCGTTTAATTTGGACAATAATCTAACTTATTTCTGTCTATGCAATCAAACATTTCTGAGTTTTCACTGCAATATGTGATGCTATTGGTTAGAACTATGTTTGATTGACGAACATCGAATGGAACCGATTTCAAACGCTGAATTTTCATTGCATATTACCGTACATGGTTATAAAAATTGCATATCCTAATCTTAAAAATCTTACATTATATTATCCTGTGTGCTTCAGTGTGCAATGCCATTAACTCTCAACTAAGCAGACAAGATGTGAGTTAAAGCACATCATCAGACAGACTGTGCATGTAAGTATGTACACAAAATCAAAATAAATTCTGGTTGTTTTTACTTCGACAGTTGCCAATATTGGAAACAGATATTGATGAGTTCCTAATGGGCATGGCATCACAGATATGTGAAAGGGAAGACAATATCATTACAGAAGATCTCAGAGGTAAGGCACCTAACTGGGTGTTATATTTTATTTTTTCATCTCCATTGACCATTACTAAGAATTCCTAGTAATTGTGATAATCATCAGAAACATTGGTGTCCACTAGCACACATCAACATCATATTCATTTAGGATAAATTAACATATGTGTTGTAAGTGTAGTGTGGAAAATAACTATTTTACCCATGGCAATTTTGCTGTGTTTTATAGTTGGTCATGTAATACAATGGTTATCACCTGATATCACTAAATCATAGAGCTGGTTAATACTCGTGGCATCATTGGATGTTTTATATACTCGCATTTGATTCATGGATAGTACGCTAACCCATGACATCACTTTTATCAATCAGCTGTATAAGCAAATGATATTAGGTGATAATTATTATACATCTGTTACCTTAACGCCATAAGTTACAGCGTGCCGTAATTTTGCGGTATTTTACAGGGTATTTTCATACTACCATATTTGGAAATGCGAATTCCAAATATGGAATGATTACGTACATAAGCGTCCTCTAATAATAAAAACAAACATGGCTGCCACCAGGATTTGACTGATCCATACAAAGAAGTTCGCTGATTCTGTTCTAAACTTTTTGGATTTTGGCATTTCCATGATGTTTCCTTGAAGGAAAAGATGTATAATAATAAGGTTATTACGAAG